CTTCCCTCTTCCTAGGCCTACAACTTTGCCTGACAATCTCTGACCCGCAGGAAAGGAACACCTGGCCGCCCTCAGGGTGTGAGGCGATCAACTGAAGCGGAGCCACGCACCCTCAGACAAAGTTTTACTAGAATATAAATTTATGCTTCTTGTATTCAACTACCGTGGCTTCATAGTCCTGTTAGCAGCCATCTGACCGAGGCCTTCCACAGCCAACGGTATCATCAACTCCCAGGTATAACCATCTCAAAAGAAATGTTCAGCATTTTCCATTAGTACAAAATCACTTTTAAAGCAAGGGACCGGGCGGTCTACCTTTCCAGGAAAGTATATCATGCTATTTTTCCATCCCCTAAATTCTGTTGAAATAACAATAAACCTGAGAGTGCCGAGCTGGGACTGAGGGAGATAACGTGAAGGGAAAGAAGACGGGAGCTGTCACAAGTGCCGCCAGGTAGCAGTCCATGCAGCTGTCTCAAGGCCAATTTCCACCGAAGCCGCCTAAGTGCCTCCTTCTATTACTAAGAACTTTCTTGCCCCTGGTCTTTCCCCCCTTCTCCTCATCTGCTTTGCATATTCCATTTTACATGTTTAAATAAAAAAGTCGATGTAAATGTCTTTTAAATTGACACTATCACAAGACATTGAGGTCCCCGTGAATAAGTTACTGCACTCTGACATTTGGAAGTCATCAAATGAGACAGTATAATGTCAGCTTGATATTTTTCACACTATGAAAATATCAGCTTCATGTCAAAAATCTACATTCCATCTTAATGTAATAAATTTTCTTGTATTTGCAGACTAGTGAAAATGCTAAATATTTAAATTTGAAATGAACTTCTACAGTTACAATCTGGCCTTCATATTCCATTATTATTAAATTGGAAGTCAAGATCTTATTTTCCCCTCTTTTTTTTTTATGATTTCTTCAAACATTGCAGTGTTTGATAGAATAACATCAGCCATATTCGTTTCTCTAAATGGATGCTCTCCCATGACTTGTGGCAAATAAAGTTAAAAAAAAAAAAAATCCTGCTTTTTAGAGTCAGCCTATATTAAACCAGGTCCGGCATCCTGTCATACATCGATATGCCACTGACGATACCGGTATTTTCCACTTTGCCCGACAAGGCAAACCGAATGCAACCTTTCATACGTAGGTAAGATTAATCTTCCCAGTGTTATTTGCAAAAGTGGCATCCTTTGCTTTCCACTCACTATAATTATGGCCCCCATCAATTAGGTGTTGCGCCGACAACCACCAGCGATTATATGTAAAAATGTGCGTTTAGACCCGTTTTCCCCTAACCTGAGTGGTGAAAAAGAGAGGAGGAGTAGACAGGCATTTGGGAAAAAAACGTCAATTTGGAACATCCATCTAGATCTTTTTACCGCCATTTCCATGCCAGCCACCCTGCCGTCCCGGCTACTGCAACTGTAAGCGGTCCTAAAAGCAGGTACTCTAGAAGGCACTAAAGGACGACTAGGAGAGTCTAAAAATCACTGCAGTGGCCCATTTTGGGGTCACAAGACAAAGGCTAACGAGGAAGCCGTAACTACAGCTAAGGGTGATGGCTAACCTACGCAACACAGATCACACCCATCTTTCGGCACTGCTGTAGGACAGCTGCCGTTCCTGTATGCTCTTGCTACAACAACGTTGACAGCCCTAATGCAGCCAGAATGGTAGTCTCACCAGCTAGAACCGTTCTTAACGGGAGTTAAATAGCACTGATTTTTCAGATACCTAAGAAAGAAGCCATTATTCCTGTAGTAACAACTGTAAGTGTTATCGCAATGGTAGAAGTTTTCCCAAAAGTGGCTTGTACAAAAATGGCATAGAGAAAGCAACCTGAAAACCTGTAAAAATCACCCCAAGCAAGCTAAAAGGCAAGTTTAAAGGGAGAAGCAAACCCTGTAATTTCTGAAAAATTTTGGTAAAACATGGAGATGTTTTTCCTCAGTATTCTCAAGTACAGCTAGTAAAGTTTCCATCATTTTTTTTGGCCCAAAGCATGTGTTTTTTAAAGTTGGAATAAATTCATTTAACAAAACATTTACGTTGCAAATTAAAGCCGCCAAAATTTGCATGGTTTGTTCTAAGGTTAAATTCAACATTTTCATGAGGTTTTGCTCTTTGATTTTGAAAGTGAGCCAATGAACTCTCACTGATACGTAAAAAAAGCCTCTCTAATTTGGGAAAAAACAAAACAGAGGGAAAAATCTTTTCTACTACGTTTCCTTTTAAGTATTTTAGAAGCAAGTTTTTCCAAGGATTTGTGGTCTAGCAATGCTTTTTAAAGGCACTTGCATTTATCCTCCATGCATCAAACTGCTCCAAGTCAATTCCCTAAGACACTTAATCTTTTGGCAGATGGAAACTCATTTTGAAAGTCTACTAATGATCAATTAAAGCATTAGCTATCTCTATAGACAGGAGGTTTATGGGGTCATAGTCTTCAGAAGCTGGAGGCAAGAGCAGCAGCATGTTAGAAAAATAGCTCAACCTTTCTGTAGTTACCACAAAATTGGCAAAACATCAGAAAACAAAAATCATGACTTAGTCCCTAATGGGGGTTTTTTTGCCATAATACGTTGAAAACAAATGCGATGGTTTCTATTTTATAAGAGAGGCCGTGGTCCAAACTGAACGTCAAAGGAAACTATCCTTTTAATTTTTTTAAGTGAGGCCTAATAACAATCCCAATGCTTCCAATAAATTTACATTAGCCTTTGAAAATCGGATTCAGACTCCAGTCATAAAAATACGTACCCATGCTGCAAATACGCAGACATATCTTGTGAGGAGCTGCCATTGGAATCAGTGGTTCGCTGGTAAATAACGCATCATTTCAGACATGCTTAAAGCCACACGTTTAGGTTTGGAGTCAAGACTGGTACTCTGCCCACAAGTTTCTCTACAATTTGATGTACAAGTAGTAAGACCAAAGAGATACAACTGTCACATTCATAAAAGAATTTAAGATTCTTTCTCTAGGAGTCTGGCAAGCCATTTTTTCTTGAAGGTGCACATAAAAGTGATCAACCAGCTAATGCAAACTAAAAAGGATGCTTTTTACAAAACGACACACCTAGTATGACCATGGGTTCCTACAATTACTAACATTGCCGAGAGAATCAATACTTACTCAATTCACTGCATGTAGATCCTTGCCTGCAATTTACCTTGTATAAAGTAAGACAGAATAATAAATAGAACACATTTTCTTTCAGTGAGAGTAAAAATGAAGTCGCCTACTAAAAATTCGTAGAAAACTACCAACGCTGTGTATTTTTAAAAAGAACGTATGTAAAGATACTTGTGGGTAGGGAAGGGTGTGATACTGAAGACATAAGCACAGCTGGCATTACGAGTAGTATATTCTAGCCTCAAAATAAGTTCAGCTTCCGCATCAAGTACATCTACTTGTGGAACCTCACTACATGGATTTTCCTCTGGGTCTAAGCAAAGGGAGACAAAGGACTAAAGTGTCACTTAATTTAGTAAATGTTGGGGACAGATCTCTTTAAAAAGTAAAGGACTGGTGTTTTTGAAAGGGGCGTTTCTACCCTCTATAAAAAACACAACATTAGTAAGAGTCCAAAAATTAGGCAGCGCTCCTTAGTTTACCAGTTCCCTTCATTTTTAGCTGCTGCATTACGGCAACCTTAGTATCCGTGCCTCCATCTTTCAAACTTCGGCACATTAGCTATTATTCCCCCACACTCTGACACAAAAGTTGAATGAACAAAATGGGAGTGCGTAAGATGACAGACGATTTACGATCATTTTCAGAGCACCGAGAGATCCTTTGCCGCTCTCACACCTTTCGGAGGCAGAACAATATTCATCATCGTATTTCAGACTTTAAATAATTATTTACAGAGCACATTAAGGTCCTGATAGTAAATACATTATGTAAACATTAGACAGCATTGTTGTCCCATTTCACACTAAACTAGCATACCTCTTTCACATCGTAATTCAAAAATGGTAATCCAGAACACTTTGCTTTGGCGGTAAAAAGTAGCAATAATCAACAACGGACACAAATACCTTCTTACCAGCAACACAGCCTCCTTCTTCTACAGCAAAGTAGGGCAGACATTCCAGGGCTTAGCTGAAAAATTCTTAAAGAGACTGAAGCGAGGACCATTGGCATAATAGGAAAGGGAGGAGCAAAGTTGTTTCTAGGGGAGAGGGAAATGAATAAATAAAGGGTGACAGAAGAGCTACAGCTCCCCTTTCTAAACTGCCTGCTAGTACAACGCAAGGGCAAAATGTCACAGGATGACTCAACACTGCCAGGAGCTCCAGGCATCCCGGAAGGACAAGCCTGTGAATTACTCCCTAATTACAGGGCACTCACGTTGGCCAGATACCAACAGGACATACTGGGGAAGGGCGGAGAGCGGGGCCAACGTTACCGAGTAGGGGGGGCGT